CTGGAGCCACGGGGATCAAATGCCTCCAGTGCCAGGAAGGGTTTTCCAAGTTCAACGGGACCGCCTGCCAGCCATGCCAGTGCAACAATCATTCTTTGCAGTGTGACCCTTTGACAGGTAAAACGGGGGTGCCGTGGGGCTGTTTTGTGTGTGTGTGTGGGGGTGCTCCCTAAGGAGAAGGGTTTTCCAGGAGGAACAACCGCACGGCAAAATCTAGCTCAGATCATACAGGAGGAGAAGGCTTCACTCAAGGCAGGACTGTCCTTCCTTTGGTCATCAGAGGTCCATCTCACCATTCTCCGATGGGACCTAAAGCAGCTTAGATTGGTGAGAAGGACTGATCAGCTTAGCTTAGCTTGAGGAACCTCAACCCAAATCACGATAAAAACCCATAATTTAACCGATGGAACAGCTTGCCTCCAGAAGTTGTGGGGGCTCTCCAACACTGGAGGCTTTTTAAGAAGCGTTGGAAACAACCATCGGTCTGAAATGGTACAGGGTTTCCTGCCTGAGCAAGAGGTTGGACTAGAAGACCTCCAAGGTCCCTTGGTTCAGCTCGATGGTTCTGAAATTAAGAGTTCAGAGGCGGATAATTTCAGCTTCTTTCCATGGAATGTCTCTTCACCTCCAAACTGCTGCATCATTTCTGTTAAGATTTTGTTTGGTGTTTTTTCTTTCTTTCTTCTTTTTTGCACGTAGGTGCTTGCCTTAATTGTCATGGAAACACCGAAGGCACTCAGTGTGAGAATTGCAAAGGGCAATTTTATCGCAACCACTCCCAGCTCCACGAATGTCTCCGTTGCCCTTGCTCCACGGAGTTTTCCAGCGGCAGCTGTCAAATAAGTAAGGGGGGTTTCTTAAAAGGTTTGAAGGGCGGTGGGCTTGAAGAGGTTTTCTCCTGTCTTGGTTGGCACCTGGGATCTGTGGTGGCCACGATGGGCTTTGAGGCTGATCTAGTTTGAGCTTGTAGAAATTGAAGACGTCACTCGTACTCTCTGGGAGAAGTAAGTCTTGTGGACAAGTTACTGTGTCCACTCTGTGGACAGAATAGTCCATAGCCTCAACAACACGGCGATAGGCCGTTGTGTCGTGCGATGGCTGGATCTTCATCTCCCTCTGCCGGTCATTTGCTCTGCTTGCATTGACCAATCGGGTGGTTCACCCTGGATGGAGAAAGATCTCCCTCTTCTGGCTGGCCAGCTCAACTGTGTGGAGAAGGATCAGCCACCATTGAGTGGCTGAGACCCAGCAGGATCACAACGTTTTGGTCCAGAGAGAGACCTTCTTAGGATCCATCTCTTGTCAGTTATCCCATCAAGTTCATGTGCAGATCTGGTCTTGGAATTTTTGGTTGACTTCTATACCCCACCTCTTCCTTTCCTCTTCCATTCTTCCGTCATTCTCTCTCCATTCCTCCTCTTCTTCCTTTCTTCTTCCATTCTTTGTCCTCCTCAATTCTTCCTTCTCTTTTCCTACATTCCTCCTCCTCTTCCTCCTTTCTTCTTCCATTCCTCCTCCTCCTCCTCCATCCTTCCTCCATGCTTCCTTATTTTTCCCTCCATTCCTCCTCTTCCTCCTTCTCCACTTTTTTCCTCCATTCTTCCTCCTCCTCATTTCTTCCATTCTTCATCATCCATTCTTCCTTCTCTTTTCCTCCATTCCTCCTCCTCTTCCTCCTTTCTTCTTCCATTCCTCCTCCTCATCCTCCATCCTTCCTCCATCCTTCCTTATTTTTCCCTCCATTCCTCCTCTTCCTCCTTCTCCACTTTTTTCCTCCATTCTTCCTCCTCCTCATTTCTTCCATTCTTCTTCATCATCCATTCTTCCTTCTCTTTTCCTCCATTCCTCCTCCTCTTCCTCCTTTCTTCTTCCATTCCTCCTCCTCCTCCTCCATCCTTCCTCCATCCTTCCTTATTTTTCCCTCCATTCCTCCTCTTCCTCCTCCTCCACTTTTTTCCTCCATTCTTCCTCCTCCTCATTTCTTCCATTCTTCTTCATCATCCATTTTTCCTTTTTTCCTCCATTCCTCCTTCTTCCTCCCTCCCTTCTTCCATTCCTCCTCCTCCTCCTCCTCAGCATGGAAAGCTCTCCTGGAGCTGTTGAACTAACTAACATCCTCTTCCCCAATCAGAGCCTGGTCAGCAGACCCCAACCTGTGACAGGTGCCGTCCTGGTTACGTTGGCCCTCTCTGCAACGAATGTGACAACGGCTACTACAGCTCGGACAGTGTCTGCCTCAAATGCCAATGCAATGGCAACGTGGACCCAGCCCTTTCACCGAGAGTCTGCAGGGCAGATACGGGGGAATGCCTCGGTTGCCTCCACCACACAACTGGGCCTCATTGTGAGAAGTGTCAAGAAGGATACGTCAAACTGTTGGAAGGAGGGAACTGTACCAAGGAAGGTAGGGTGTTTTTTTTAATCCCGTTGAATTTGCACATTCTAGGAGCGTAACTTAAATTACTACAGGGAAGTCCTCGGCTTACGACTGTTTGGCCATCATTCAAAGCTACAACAACACAGAAATAAAAGCCACTTAACAACTAATCCTTGCACTTATGACCATCCCAGCGTGTCCAAAGTCGTGGGATCAAAATTCAGGCGCCTGGATTCACTTAACGGCCGTGGAAAGAAAGGTTGTAAAAGTGGAACCTGGCTCCCTTAAGCACCCCCTCGCTTACCAATGGGAATCCTGGTCCCCATTTGTAGTCATAGGCCGAGGACCGCCTGCATGGAGTTGGATGGGTGTGTTGAATAAGCAACAAGGGTGCGATTCTAAACAAAAGAGGGGTTTAGACGTATTCTACTTTAACATGATTTGTGAACCCAGTCCTTGAATGTCTATGGAGGTTCTCAATCACCCAGGACATGGTTATCCCAAAGATGCTTTTTCAGGAGGCAACTGGACTTTCTGGTTTTTCTCTGAAGACGTTTCTCTCCTCATCCAAAAAGCTTCTTCAGCTCTGACTGGATGGTGGGAAAATGGAAGGATTTATACTCCTTGCAGACAGCTGGTCATTTGCCTTCTTTGAGAGAGTCGTTGAGGCCACTTGGAGGTTTGCCTGTGCCCTCAGGGTCACCTGAGTGGTGCAAGTGGATGTGGCGCTTTCTCCACCTACAGGGCAGAAAACATCCTGCAGCCATGAAGGCTCCACACCCATTTGCACCGCTCAGGTGACCCTGAGGACACCGGTAAACCTCCAAATGGCCTCAACGACTCTCTCAAAGAATGCAAATGACCAGCGCTCTGCAAGGAACATAAATCCTTCCATTCCCCACCATCTAGTCGGAGCTGAAAAAGCTTGTTGGATGAGAAGCGGAACGTCTTCAAAGAAAAAACAAGTCCAGTTGCCTCTTGAAAAAGCACCTTTGGGCCAATCCCTGAATGTGAATTGCTCTCTTCTCCTTCATTGAACGGCTGAGCTGAATGCCTGGTTATCTGCCTCGCCTAATAACTGTTCACTTGTTTTCTTAAAAAAAAATGTAGAATCTACTCCAGCCCCCAGGCTCATCCCTACAGCTCCAAACGTCAGTGCATCAACCATCTCACCTACGGTGGTCTTGAACAGCACGTCGGGGCAGACCCCGGTAGAGACGGCTTTCCCGAGTCCATCTTCTGAAAACAGCACCTTGACGTTGGGGGAGGTCTCTTGGGCCCAGTTCAACATCATTATCCTCACCGTGATCATCATCCTGGTGGTGCTGCTGATGGGCTTTGTAGGCGCCGTCTACATGTACCGCGAATATCAGAACCGGAAGCTGAACGCTCCTTTTTGGACCATCGAACTGAAGGAGGACAACATTAGCTTCAGCAGTTACCACGACAGCATCCCCAACGCAGACATTTCCGGCTTGTTAGAAGATGACGGCAACGAGGTGACGCCCAACGGGCAGTTGACGTTGACCACGCCCATGCACAACTACAAAGCGTGACAAATCCAAAGCTTGCAAGCTTTCTAACTCGAACAGATCAGCGCTTTGGGAGAAGACTGGATGGTTCCCGCGATTCATGCAGAAGGAACGAGATGTTTTCTGGTTCCTGGGTTGACCTAGCTTCGTGTCGATTGTTCAACAAAAAAAAGAGCGTCGGGCAACGACCGAGGCGAGTCAAATGAGAAGTAAGGATTTCTGAGGCCACCGTGGGTATTTGCTTGTATTTTTTTAAAAGAAGCAGCTGCTTGAATAATATATTTTTGTACGGAAACGTTGGAGATGTCCCTCAGAAGTCCTCTCATTGCTACTCAGAAAACCCAGAACCGAATTTTTTAAGCGCTTATTGGAAACGTGATCGACGACAAGAGGACAAGCGGTTTGGGAAAAGAAGAATTGAAAAAAAAACCGTTTCCCGGTCCGAGTTTTTGCTATTTAAAACGATTGACGGATTCAGAACGGAAGAACATTGACCAAAGTTTTGCCTAACTCTTTCGTTCTCTTCTGTTTTTGTTTTTGAGGAAAGGGACCGAGGCGTCCTCTTTCCCTCCTTTTGTGAATAGTTCCTTTCCAAGCTAGTAACCTTATTTAAAAAGTTCAACGTGGCTCTTTGTTTTCTCATCTTGCTTCGACCTGGATTCCTTCCCCGGTAGAAAACGTGAAAGAAGAACATCAAGAATTTTTTTCCAGAGCAGAAAACGGTGTGTATAAAGAATGTAAACAATAGATTTCTTCGGCTGTATTTGTAACTATTGTACAAAAAAAGAAAAAGAATCAGGCGTCGAATTTTAACTGTTTTAAGATTTTTATCTGTACAGGGGTTTGTGGCGTTGTTAAAAAAAGCGAGGCCAAATGAAACCAAACCCAAGCTAAGAATTGGGGTGGGAGAAAGTAAGTATTGTATTAAAGTGCTGTAAATTTAGAGGGCGAATGTCTGGAGCTGGGACTCCAGTCAAACAGGTTTGTGGCAAATTTCTCCTCTTCTAATAATACAAGTTGTTTGCAGCTTCAAGTTTCAATTTCCCCTGCTTGTTATTTCAAGGATTGGTACCCTAACGAGACTTTTGTGATAAGGGGTGGGGCGCAAGGATTTAGGATAGTGGAATAGAGTTGAGTAATAGAATTGTTCCCCTGAATACAAAGTCAGCCTAGGATATGGAAGGAGAATTCAGATTTTTTCCGTGCTGATTTTACAATCTGGATTGAATTTGGAACTCAAATTGCCAACTGTCTGTCTTATTTGGCCGTAGGAAGGTCGTCATTGCATGAAAACCCACTGATCAAAATCAACACGTTAACGTCGGAATAAAATGAATTATTATAAGAGTGGAACATCTGGCTTTTCCAATTGTCATCTGCTACTTTTTGGGTGGGAGCTTACAAGCTGGCTTGGGTTTCCAGAAGTTTCTTGCTTTAAAAAAAATAAAAAATAAATCAAGGTTCAAGAGTTCCTTATTCCACTAGACTAGAGGCATGTCATCTGCATTACTTTTTCCTGGCTTGAAATTCTCGACCGAGATGTCCTCAGGATTATCATTAGAACGTCTGTAGAACATCATCTAGAACAGGGGTCTTCAAACCTGACCCTTTTATGACTTGTGGACTTCAACTCCCAGAATTCCTCAGCCAGGCAGTTGAAGTCCTCAAATCATGAAGGGGCCATAGTTCCTTCATGCTGGCTCAGGAATTCTGGGAGTTGAAGTCCTCAAGTCATGAAGGGGCCATAGTTCCCCCATGCTGGCTCAGGAATTCTGGGAGTTGAAGTCCTCAAGTCATGAAGGGGCTATAGTTCCCCCATGCTGGCTCAGGAATTCTGGGAGCTGAAGTCCGCAAGTCATAAAAGGGCCAAGTTTGATGACCCCTTGATGTAGAAGAGTGATCTAGAACAGAGCTTGCCATTAGAATGGGTGGTATCTGTGGATCTCACTGGATGTGACTTGGTCTCGTTTGGTTTCTCTCAGCATTTCTATCCGTTGGCAACGCTGGATCAAGAACTATTAGCCCAAACCCTCTTCTCTAAAAAGTTGGTTCCTCTCTCTAAATAAATCCAAATAATATTATCTTGAGCACTAGTCTGAAAGTCAATAATCTGAAGGGTCCTTGGTATTCTCTGAGCTTGGTGGTTTTCTTGCAGACGTTTCATTAGCCAAACTAGGTAGCATCATCAGTGCTAGAAGAGAGTGGGGTTTGCGAGGAGGAGGAGGAGGAAGAGGAGGAGGAGGAGGAGAAGGAGGAGGAGGAGGAGGAGGAGAGCGATGACTGTGGGGGTCGTTGCTGCTCTCTGAGCTTGTGATTTTCTCACAGACATTTCATTACCTAACTAGGGAACATCATCAGTGGTAGAAGGGAGTGGAGTTTGCAGAGAGAAGGAGGAGGAGGAGGAGGAGGAGGAGGAATGTGGGGTCCTTGGTTCTCTCTGAGCTTGGCTGATTTCTTGCAGATGTTTCATGATCCAACTAGGGAACATCATCAATGCTGGGTGATGACCAAGGATAATTATTTTCTTGCAGACGTTTCCATGCACAACTAGGTAACATCATCAGTGCTAGTCAACAATCTTACAAGGTTGGAAAGAGACTTACAATATCTCAGGAATACACACCAATTAAAACACCCACCAGTATTTTATCCACTTTACCGAGAGCTTTTTTTAAAAATAGCTTTCTTCTTGGAGCTGAGAGTCCTGTGTGAATTCACGCATTCGGAGTTGGGTAATCTTATTTGCTCCGTGCACACATCTTATTAACTTAACTGTTAGGCTTCAGGGGGTGCAGGGATTGGACAACCTGATTTCCTCCAGGGCTTGGAGAACGAAAGTGTGTGAAATCACTCCCAGCACAGTATCGCACTTGTTTGACAAAGGAACAGCCACTTACATCAACACGGTTGGTGAAGACCTCATGCACTGTAGGTGGCCTAATTGGAATTTGATATCTGGAAAGGATCCCAGATCAAAGTCGATTGGATTTCAGTTGACGGAGCAAGAAACGAAACAAAAATAGACCTGGGGCAAAGATAAAAACCTACTCTTGAGCATTAATTTCTTCCCTCGTAGATCAAAGGAGGAAATATGTTCTTCGCACGTTGAGGCTCACAAGGTTGCTGAGATAAATGAATAAATGATATCTGAAAAGGACGAAGGGGACAATTAGAGTAAGGATATTTTCGTTCTGCAGTTTCAGCGTCTGCAAAAATGAATCTGGATGCCTGTTTTGAGCATTTTCTGCTGTGAAATTCAGAGGCTACATATACCATATTTGTGGAGTCCTTGGTGCTCTCTGAGTTTGGTTGTTTTCTTGCAGACGTTTCACTACCCAACTAGGGAACATCATCAGTGCTAGCAAGGAGTGGGATTTGTGAAGAGGAGGAGGAGGAGGATAGTGGGGTCCTTGGTGCTCTCTGAGCTTGGTGGTTTTCTTGCAGATGTTTCATGACCAAACTAGGGAACATCATCAGTGCTAGAAAGGAATGGGGTTTGTGAAGAGGAGGAGGAGGAGGACTGTGGGGTCCTTGGTGCTCTCTGAGCTTGGTGGTTTTCTTGCAGATGTTTCATTATCCAACTAGCAAACTTCATCAGTGCTGATGTTTTCTTGAGCGCCAAGAAAAGCAAAGTTCCAAAACTCTTCTCTTCAAAAGACTTTGAAAAGCTGAGAAGCTTTGAAAATATTGTAAACGGCGCGTCAAGCTTAGAAATTGAATCAGCCCAAGTCATCTTGAATGAGTTTCATGCCAAGAAGCCACAAACATGTTTACTCTCATGGGATCAGAGAGTCCACGAGCAGGCGGTGTCTCCACAGTGCAAAAACGGTCACAGTTCCTTAAAGAAGCCTATGAAAAATTAAATAATTTGGATGGGTATCAAAGATGCATCCCTGAAGAACATCACCAGACATACCTCCAAGGAAATGTACGCGGAGTAACAACAAACGGGTGAATGATGATTTAAATCATATCCCCGAGAACCACGGGCCATTTCAATCCCCGAGGTTGTGGGTTGAACAAAGGGTGAAGTTCCCCGCGACAGCGCCGACAAAATAGTGTTCAAAATGTAATTTTTACGATTCACGGAAACAGGCCAGTTAAGGCGTGAAGTTGTGACTCCACCCCATGAAGCCCCTGGGAAAAATTGTGTCCAAACATAAATAGAGAGGCTTTGTGTGTATGTGTGTGTATCTTTTTTTTTCCCTTCTCAAAAACCCTTAAGTTTAATGAAGTACCCCTAGCTAGAAATAATTGCATGAAGTTTTAACTGTAGAGAGATGGCATGACACTGTATAATGAAATAGGTACCGCGATAGACCAGGCCAAAAAAATATGTTTAAATTTATGAAGTGAGTATGATAATTTTAGCATGATTCGCCAAGCCCTTTTGACACTTAAGGATATGCAAAATAGAGTGTACGTCCAACAGACGTAATCCATTTAAAAGAAGCTTGAAATACATATCTGTTAATGCAGATATCTTGCAATATTTATGCCTCTGATTCTTTGCATTAAGAGTGGGACTTGCAAAGCCTGAATGCAAGTTGTATGTGCTCTAACATGACATGTCAACTATATTTTTGGGTATTTTTATCCTAAGCATTTGTTCGGCTCATGAAATGCATTTATTTGAGGGGAAAAAAAATGTCCTTCTGTATGGAAGTGCGTGTATATATCTGTATATATGTGAGGGGTGAGAGTATGATCCGAATTTTCCTGGAATTTATACGGAAGAATGTTATTTAAAAAACACAAAAACAAATAAAATGTAGACAATTTGTTCCTAACCCAGTTTTGGCTGTTTATAGTTTATTTTGTGGCATGCAACTTCGTCTTCATATCTCATTTCTAGAGGAAGCGGTAAACCACGTCCAGAGAAAGAACGTATAAGAGGCAAACGGAAAACTGCAACAGTTAAAAAAAATTGATTTTGTCTCTAATATTAGAACTACAGGGAGTCCTCATTTAGTGAGCACAATTGGGATGGCAAGTCAATTATGACCCGTTTTTGCCACAGTTAACTGCAGTTCTTACGTGAATTGTATGATTGTTGAATGAATCTAGCTTCCCCCGTTGATTTTGCTAGCTGGAAGCTGGCTGGGAAAGTCACAAACGGGATTCACATGATCCCAGGATGTTGCAAACCATCATAAAAAATTCTGTGCTGGTTGTCAAAACACCTAAATTTTGATCGTACGATCGGGCGAATGCTGCAGTGGTCATAAATGAAGGACCAGTCATAATTCAGTTTTTTCAGCGCTGTTGTAACTTTGAATGGTTGCTAAATGGATTGTTGTAAATCAAGGACTATCAGTTCATATAGAATATAATATAATCCATACATACTGCATATAAAACATATATTGCAGATCTGGAAGGCTACACAGTTTCTCCTCTCTGATGATAAATAGAAACTGATGGGACCATCTGTGGTAGGATGAAACTGTGTCACTCGGATGTAGTTAGCTGGAGAACAGTGCCTCTAGGCATGTCAAGAGTACCCTGGCCTTGTAAAATACCAGTTCTGGGCAGTTAGGAAGTGACATTTTTTTTATTATCTATTATTAAATTTTTAATGCTGTCCATCTCTGAGTGGCTTATACAGGTTGTAAAATAGAAAAAAACAATTTAAGCATATTAAAATGTTGAAACAACACATTAAAAATTTTTAAAAAACACCACAATATAAAGATGACTTTCTTAGAGAAGATGCCAAAGCTGGCTTTGTTTCTCCAAAGATGAGATGCATTCTTCCAAACTGGAGATTCAAGAAGCGTTCACCTGAAATAGGAAAAAGACAAGTGGACTCCGGGTCCCATCAGGATAGGCAGCAGAAATAAAGAATGGGAATTGTGGTCCCGCTCCTGGACTTGATGTAATGTAGTAAAATGAACAATTATTAGAATAATGATTTGTCTGCATAACTAGAATAATGATTTGTCTTGCCTGCTCCCCGCCCCTCCAGTTTTGAAAAGCTGTCCACATCCAACCTAACTTGAATTCGCATCTCCATCCCCAAATCTTAATTAGCCCATCATCCTTTTAACTCGGCGTCTTCCCATTCCTGGGTACCAAAAAAAAAAAAAAA